GTGTTTACCTCCATCTAGCAAAGCAATGAAGCCTGGCTGGTAAATGCTAAGAAATTTAAATGTAATTTTCTGCGTAAACTGGATTTTCCTCATAATTTTGAAGTCCATTAATAGTTCTATTACATCTTTTATTTTCAGGTACAAAAAAAAATTAAAACAGTTCTAAAATTGGATGTTTTGCTAAAGTAATTTTCGGATCACTTGTTCCGAAAGATCTCTTCCTAACCTCTCATATACTTAATAACTACTGAAGCGTTTAAGGTATTAATTCTAAAGAGAAATCAGTTGCTCTTTGCTGCTGTTGACAGCACAGGGCACGTTTCCAGGAGACCTGCTTGAGCTGACACCTCTGAGGAAGGAGTTCTTCCGCTCTCAGCTGCTTGCTCCCTCCCCTGAGCTGGATCTGGCGGCCCCAGCTGCAGGGTTTCAAGGCGAACTGGCGCTGGTTATTGTTTGCCTTGAAATACAGCTCTGCAATCTGTAGTATCTTGGAAGCTGATGGGGTAGGCAGGGTAGATAGCTGTGGATAGCAACTTTAGCAAGTGCAGTTGAGCTTGCGATAGCTGACTCATTCAAGAATTCATGTTTTGTTTCCTGTATCTACTGATTACCCGTAAAAGACTTAACTCGACAATAGAATTTTTCTCCAGACTCAACGTATCTCTGAAGTGGATTGGGGTACTCCACCCATAATTTGGCATAACTTCAGAGTGAAGAAATTATGGTCTTTGTCTTTTTGAAGCTACCTTCATAATAAAGACTACTCTTTGTCTGACCAGACTGCCATTCTAGAGCACCACTTGCTGCTGTCAGTTTCCTGTTTGATCCTAATTGCTCTCCCCAAAACGGAACACTTCAGCGAAGTATTTTAAGACCATTTTCTCACTGAGGTCTCTAATGCAATCTGTCTAAACCGACTGTCTTGTGTGAATGCTTTGACATCACCTTCTTTTCAGCCAAAGGTTCCAGGTCCCATGTTGTAAGTGCACATCCGTGAAACTCTCGCAGACTGGTGCGAAGTGAAACGATCAGGTCCTCGTGCTGGCTAAATATCCCAGAGCTACGGGCAGTCCTGTTGCCATCACCCTCTGCGTTACCTGTTCCTGTCTCGCTGCGTCTTGCTTGCTTCTTTCTCTCCAGTGAGCTGAAAATGCAGAACATGCTATACAGCTCTCGGCTTTACTTTTGAAGGCATATCTAGAGATAAATCTTGTCACCTATTTTCTTAACATTAGATCGATATTAATCTTGCATATATTACTTTTAGTCAGGGTTTATTTGCTGTGTTATATAAAAATGCGATCTTGGTAATAACTCTTACCTTTTATTGTAAAGAAAGAAATTCCACGCCTTTCCTCATCAACAAAGGTACTCACTGTGCTGCTCTGAATGCTTATTCCTGAACCTTTGGGGAGATGTTTTCCCTTTACATGCTTTTGAGCACACTTAATTGTGAGGTTGCTACAACTGGTTGTTTCTGTGTTTCTCTGGTATTTGACTCAGTTTGGGAAGCAAGAAGGTGTGCAGAGAGATGCGTGTCTTTGTGACGCAGAGCGAAACCACGTAAGACTGCACAGTCTTGTTGATGTTTGAACAAAAAAGGTAGGTTGTGGGTTTTTTGAACCTATCAACCTGGATTGTGTTTCTTCACCCAGTTTGCAAAAAATTCCATTTATGGCTGCTCTGAGTCTTTTGACTTCTTGCCAGCTTTTTTATTTTGTGGCTGCACATCTTAGCCATGGAACTTTGTCAAATTCTCTCTCCGCATCCAAAGCCTGTAATTTCCTCTGCCTTCTCTCCTCTGTCATTCTTGGCAGCAGGATATTCGGGAAGGTGAGGGAGCCATAGGCTTGTGCAGTCTGCACCCAGAGCAGAATTCAGAAAACAAAACAAAACAGTGGTTTACTTTAATCAAGCAGTACTGTTTGAGAAAAGCTCCTCTCTTTAATACTGTGCTCAATTTATTTACAACTAATATGCTGCAGCGTTTCACAGCATTCTTCTTGTGTGCAGGAGTCTGGTATGTTTTGCCTGTGCACATAAAATTAAGCTCCCTTTGGGTGGACCGGTCGATTTTATTTGTAAGACTGTGGGGAGAAGATGATTTTCCCTCTGTGTGGATAGTGAGCAGCTTGAAGAGACACGAACTCCTGACCGGGGCCTCTCTGCATTACTATAAATATATATGATGATTATGAGGAAGTCTTTGAATCAGATGATAAAACTTCATGAAAATAGGTCAGGGAAAGTTTTATGGATGCTATGAAGAAAATGTAGATTCCTGAGTCTTGATAAAAAATGTTATCCAGTGACCTAGCACTCTATAATTTTATCCTATATGACTTTTTTTAAGCCATGGGCTTGCAGTCAAAAACTCCAAAAATACTGGCATGTTTGTAAAATATATTAAAAAGCCCAGCTGTTTCTCAGAGGGTGGAAGTTTTTTGTTTGAAAGCAACGTGAGAGCGTTGGCAGTTTTGGTACCTGCATACCTGTGCAGTGACCTCGGGGCATCTCTGAAGAGGTGGATTCTGTCTCCAGGTTTGTTCAGCATCTGCCCTGTGCTGGAGTCACCGAGAAGGCCGGCGGTCAGGTCCCTTGATCCACTGTAATATAGAAACTTTCTTCCAAGAAATAAAAACGCGATCTGCCTGGAGATTTCAAACATTAAATGGAAATGGGTCCTATTCACCACAACGGGGACTACAGCCAAGCTGGTCACCTACAAGTGAGAATTCAGTACCCGGCTGCCGTTCTGTCCAGCTGGCGAGTGTTTTTTCTCTCCACAGTTTCTATGTTTGAGTACAAGCTGCGATTTTGTTTCCTGCTTAAGGGTCTTCACTATCTAACCTCAGCAGTCTATTATACTTTGGTTAAAAGGGTTTCCTTCCTTTAAGTTGTTTTTAAATTCTTCTTTCTGAAGTAGACCTTTAGAAGATACTGTTGTAAATAACTTCGGAGTTGAAAATACAGCTTTTTTCTTTTTTTTAGATCTCCTGAGTTTCTTAAATATGTATTTAAAGACAAAATAGATGGCAAGAGAGTTGGAAAAATTTGCACATTTAAACATAACACCTCGTTAAAGTGCACGTAACTGAAAGACTGCGCTATGCCTTAGAAATAGGAAGTTGACTGAAGTGAGCAATTGGGCAGGTGCTTTCTGCAGAATTTGCGATACGTGTATTGGTAAGAAGGAGTACCAGTTCCTCATCTTGTGCTCACCCCAGGGCAGTTGCTCTGCAGATGTGGTGTTTGATTAGTGTGTGGTCTTTACTTCTTTTTTGACTTACAGTTTGTCAACGTGTGTAAGCTGACAGTGGAAAAAGACAGTCGGGGAATCACACTCGCGCTCCTTGTACCTATGTAAAAGATAAAAATTTATTTTGAAGGGAGTGTAGCTGTTGCTTTTTGTTGAAGTCACAAGGCTTCTCTCCGACTTCATCTTCACTTTGCACTTTGAACGTAGGCTAATTCTATTTTTATTGTCCCCTCCTTTCTTTCAACTGCTAAAGATTAGAGGTATTTGAAATGCCTTACAAGGAAGGTTCCCTATCAGGTTCCCTATCAACCAAATACTTGGTCAGTGCATTATTGCAGCTGCTTTCACTTTTGAAATAAAAAGTTAACGGAAATTAGAAAAATGTCAGTGTGCTTTGCTGTGTAAAGCTTCTGTGTGTTTAAAAAATTAAATTTTCTAAATTGCATCTATAACTGCTGCACGTCACTGACTTGGCTGTTTGGGAAGAGTGGTTCACAGGTATACCAAAAACCCTGGAATTCATTGTTGAATTTAATTCTGGTTTGCCATTGCCAGAGCATTTAAGTAAAATGTGTGTATATAACTTTATGAATTCAGTCAAATATTTTCAGTTTTTATTTATGGGGCCAGCATTTGTCCTCATTTTAAAATGAGGTCAGGAAGGTCCTATTTTAAAATGGCACTCTAGCCTAGAAGTAGGTTTTCAGTAACTCGGTAGCCTCTGCATATTTGTTTGCTAAAACAATATTTTAGGGTTTCAAAAAAATTTATGATCTACTGTGTCTTGGGAGTCAGAATTGGGTTTTCTGGAATGGGAACACTGAAGATCGTACGAGTGCTAAAATTCGCAAGGCTTCATCTTTTACGGTTAGATTTATGGGTAGCAGATTCATTATATTTCAAAGGAAGTTACATATCATTGTATATTGGCTTTTGTGCAAGTGAATTGTCCCATTCTGTGAAGATCTGGGCTTTGGCGGGGAGGAATGACGTGTTGGCCAGCCGTGCCTGCCCGCATTTCCCAGCGACTCGCCTGGAGCCACCGCGAGAAGGGGTTTTAGGGCAGAGCGTGCAGAGCTGTTCGGATTTTAAGGTTCATTGGCTCTTGGGCTCCTTTGTAGCTGAGATTTTGTTGTTGTCGTCGATGGGTTGTTACTGTACTCATTCCTTGTCCACTGTGATGCTGTATGTGTCTGAAAAAGAAAGATGCAGAGAAAAGAATTTGAATGGAAATACATAAAACTAGCTTTTAGAATCATAGAATCGTTTAGGTTGGAAAAGACCTTTAAGATCATCCAGTCCAACCATTAACCTGCACTACCAAGTATTCCATGTATAAGGAAGGTAAAGAAAAACATACTGAACAGTTCCTCTCCATGCTAAACGTACATGATGATGGGATTTACAGAAGTTACATAGGGATTTTGGAGTTTGAGCTCTCACGTAGCACAGCTGCACGTGGCCCCTTCTTAAAAGCAAGCGGGTGGGAGAGCAGAGCTAAGGGAGAGGAGCGTGGAGCGCTCCTGCCCTGCGCTGGCCATGCCGCTGTGGCTGGTGAGAGGAGTTGGGGCCCACATGAAGAATCACTCTTTCGGGTTTGTTGTTACGTTTTTTTCCTTTTTCAGAGGTTAGGTGCCATCCTTTAAGTAGAAAGAATATCTTGCTTACAGCATGGGTTTTGATATGTTAAAATTGCCAGTGAAAAAACCACTTGTGATCTTTTATTCCCTTAGGAATCTCAGCAGTCCAGTTTTGGCACTGGAGAACAGAGTAAGTATATTAAACTTCCTGTAATATCTTTAATGTTTTTGTTGTGATTCAGTATTCTTAGTATCTCTTAAGATGTCATGCTTTTTAGAGAATGAGATTTTCCAGACTGGTCATAGGATGGAATCTACGTTAAGATTTTCTGTACTTTCTCAAGTTTTAACCAATAAAACAATTGCTTGATTTTCTTTCACATTTCTTTTTGAGATCTAGAAAGTTGTGACTGAGTTGCAAGATTGTTACTGTCTTCTAGAAAAGAAATAAATATTTTTTAATTTGTCAGGTTTTCTAATTCTTGAAAAAATGTCTCTGTAGTTGATCTAATTGAAAATAGCTGAATACTAAAACAAAACACCCTTTAAAAAACCCAACTCCCTGGTTGGGGACATATTAGAAACCAAAACAGTGTTTACGCTTATATCTCAATAGCAAAAGCACATTGCAGTTTCACTGTTTGTTTTCACTTTGTCATTTTAAAATAGAGAGAACTGGTCAAGAACTCATAGTAATATGGTTAGCAATATCCTTTAATTTCTTGTCCCAGAATGCATTTTCAGATTTTAGACAAAAGTGGCTTTTATTTCTCTTTAACTGTATCATTGTTTTGAATATTACTGAAACTAATAATTTAACACAGGTAACATAGCCAGGTAAAATTGAATTAGATTTGTGCTGTTACCTTCCAAAAGTCTTTCCACTCCCTCTTGAAGGGATTAAACAGATTAAATAGTAAAAGAAGAATGGTTTATTCTTAGATATTCACAAGCAGCTTAATCTAAACACCTGATACAGTGGGGAATTAAGGAAACAAATTAAAACTTAATTCCATAATGCTAAACCATAGACTTACGTTATAGGAGCAACTGATCTTTAGGTGTGTAAATGAAGAGGCAAGGTTAGTCAAAACACAGACCCAGTTTTCCAGTCCTGTTTGAATTTTCTGGGAAACTTTTAACAGCCTCAGTTGTTGTTTCTGTTGAACTGCGCAATTTGCCAGAATTAAAGAAAAGGGAAGGAACCCCCCCAAGCTGAAAAGCAGATTATATCAGTGTGTATTCCTATGGTAAGAACTGGTTTCTGAGTTTGATTTCTGGATCTAAGGATTGCTCATCCGCTAAAAAGCTATGCAGGGACGCTGAAACAAGTCAGAGCTTGACAGGCTGATCTGTATCCCGTATCCTGCACGTAGAAGGCAATAGATTAATCTTGATAGAAGCAAAACAGTTTTTCACACCATTAACAACGAATTAAGTGTGTATTGGTTTAGACAGCAATGATTTAAATAATCTTCTAGATTTTCTTGATTATTTGCTGTATTTAGTATTTTGTCTCTGCATCGGCTCACTTCTTCAGTCTGTGGGAGATTGCACCTGGCGTCAGCTGGTTATTACTTTCTCCTGTCTACTCAGCCGTTCTTGGTTTATCTAAGACTGTGTGCTTCTGGCAACTTGGGAGTGACTTGTTTTGCTGGCTGAGTTTTCAACTGTGCATTTCTTTTTTCTTCTAGAACGGTATAATCCTTCATCAAAAACATCCAATGGCCATCAATCCAAATCGTAAGTGACTATTGAGAAAATGTCTGTCAAACAACAGTCAAATTTTAAGAGACTTGGAAAATAGCTGTTTCTTCTACTGGAACGTGTCAGTTCTTGCACCGACTCTTTAGCATACTTCTCCTTGACTGGCAGAAAAAGGGGATCATTTTTAAGCAGCCATTTTCTGGGACAGTATACCAAATGCGGCACGCTGGAGTGAGTAACAAAGACGCTGCGCTGCCTTTCCGTTCCCCTGTTTCCTTGTCAGTTGTCAGGATAGGTGTGCAAGAGTTTGGACCTCGGAATTGGCTTGTGAAGCAGCAAGGTATCGGCATATAAGAATGGGCAGGATGGGATGGGACTTAATCAAACACGTGCATTGCAGAGCTGTCAGCTGGAAGCAGCTTGTAGCAGTTGCGCGAATAACCCAGATGGGGAACTGTTTTGTATTGGAGGAGATAGCAAACTACGTTTGCAGTCTAGTTAAGTTTATTCTACTCAGTCTCTTAACTGATGGGCAAAAGTTTGCTGAGTTATGCACATGGATCCAGCGTTTTACTTTGTCAATTATGTAACTGGGAGAAAAAAGAAAAAGCAACTGGAATATTCTAGATGGCTGTAGTCCACCTTGCTCATACCTGAAAATCAATTACATGATACGTCCATGAAAATACAGGTTTACCAGCTGATTGTATGTTTAAAGAATGTGGCTGTAGATTCTGAAAACTTGTTATTCTAAGTTAACATTTGTTGTGCTGCAATCGCAAAATGAAGCCTAGTTCTGTTTGTGCACGTTACAGTATTAGCAAGATTTCAAAAAGCACATGACCTGTGAGAAGGGAATAGAATAAAAAGAAAACCCCTCGACTACTACAGACTTACAGTTTCCCAAAAACATGTAGTTTAAGATGATGCTCATATGCAGCCAGTTCACCGTTTGGCTTTGCTTTTGTCATAGCAGTATAGCCCGCTAAGAAGGAACTGTGCTGTTTCCAAAGCTGGGGAATGTGAGAACATCTAAGAACAAGCGGTAGCACCGGGCATGTGTTGAACTGGGATGCATAGGAAGAAAGCTGAGATGATGGTTACTGTGACAATACAGTTTTAAATAATTAGGGAAAAAAAACAAAGTGATTGTGATCTGGTCAAAAAAAAACATAAAAAAGGAGATAAATGCATCTTTTGTAAAAGGATAGCAATGAAAAATATTTCAGGAACTAGATCCTAGAGGCTGGTGTTTCTTTTCAGATCATCAGTAGAACAGCTATACTGTGAAACTCAAAGTATTAGACTTTTAATCCTTTCTCATTTTCTTTCTCCAGATGTGAATCGAACCAGACAGAGTAAGATGTTTTATTTTTGTAATCAAAGGTGTTTTTCAATAAGCACAAAGGCCCTGTACCCTGCTATATGTTTTCAGTGTGTTCACGTATTTTCAGTATTGTGAAATAGTGTGTGTATGTATGACTACCATGAATAATTACGGCTTTGAATAATAATAAAATAATTATGGCTTAGAACAGTTGCACTGTTGCCACAAGGCGGGAAACAGCCCCTAGTGTTAGCTTTCTTGATTCTATTTGAAATGGTATTTTTGGCCGTTGTGTGTAAGAGGTTGAACAGACACAAGTTAGCTCCTCCCGCATTAGTAAATTGTGTCAAATTTCCTTTCTAAATTTAACAGAATGCACTAAGGAGTCAAAGTACTAGAATCCTTATGCTTCTCTAAACAATGACTTAACTCACTATTCTTAAACATTAAATGTTAGAACGGTATCGTGTGGATTTCACCCACACAGCCTACTTCGTAGTATAAACAGTAGTGTGTTGAAATGTAGAACAATGCTTTGAAAGTAATTAAAGTACATGGAAAAACTTGTCTCACTTTCTCCCTTTTACTTAGTATGTTGAAAGATGACTTAAAACTTAGCAGTAGTGAAGACAGCGATGGAGAGCAGGTATGTTCATTAAATCAGAGTTTCAGAAAAACATAGTGAGTGCACTCACGGTTCAGTACTTCAGCAGTGTTAGTGTTCTGACAGCAAACTGAGCAGCTTAAGAGGAAGTTTAATTAAAAAACAAAAATCAGGTGGCATGTTTTTAGACAAACCTCAGGTATTCCTAAATGTAAATTTGGGGGAAATTATCTGTTTTATTGAAACAGTAGGCTTTTATCTAGAAAATGTTGTTTTACTGATTTCAAATGGGCTTTCTCTGAACATAAAATGGTAATAGTGTACTTTAAAACGTGTGTAATGGCCCTCCATTTAAAGATAGAACCCTTCACGTTCTGCCACTCCGGCTAAAGAGTACGTGGTATGAACGTCTCTGCGCATTAGTAGCTTGGGACTGTGTTTGGGATGATAAGGGATACTGTACCTGTAACTGGGAGTATAGCAGCACCTTTATTTTTATCAACAAGTCTCTTTTTCTCATCTTTGTCAATATTAATTTTGTGCAGCTTCTGCCAGAAATGGCGTTTAGCATGCAAAATTAAAAATACCTGTATGTGCTACTCAGCAGTAATCCACATTCCTCTTTTGTTTCTTTTCTTCCTGTTCCCAGTTCTAGTACTTGATTGTCTTCATGTGGAAAACTTTTTGAGATAGTACATTTAGTTGGTTTACTCCTAGTACTCTGGGCATCTCAGGAATAGTATTGTCAAATCTTGAATCGTCTGATTCAAAAAGATGGAAGCATGGTATTAGTGAGCGATGGAAGTAGGAACTCTTAGAAGTGTAGTCAGAATGTGTAGGACTGTGAGGTAATAGATTTGTGGTGAAAGCTTGGAGAAAATAACTCTGGTTTTCTTTCGGTATAAGGAAGATGCAGACAAATTTAAACTGCTGCAAGTACAGAATTAAGATGCTGTTCAGGCTAAATAATTTTAAAAATTTAAAGGCTCTAAATTGACGCTTTGCAACTTAATTGTATATACAATGCTAAAGTAACTTCCAGAAGCTTCATGCTCTTTTTCTTAATTACAGGACTGCGATAAGACAGTGCCAAGGAGCACACCTGGA